AAAATAATTGTAAAAGTCAGAATTTCAAATCGTCTGGTATTGAAAATGGACCAAATCGTTTGAAGGACACGCCCATGTCTGTTTTTCAAAAGGAATTAAAAAATGGTCTTTTACGTATTACTCATAAACTACAGCAAATAAATGCGCAAACATCTGAACGCATGTTCTATTTGCGATGCTATAGTACCTTTACAAAATGGAAAAAAATGACCACGCCTGCCCAATATTATAGAGCGTCAAAATTTAATTTTTTTTCTCAATATCTTTGTAACGCGCAGAAACAAGCTTCAAAAATTTCATAAATTATGTAAATTCTTGACCAGTTTCAAAAACGGAATGCACCTGAATATGTCCGTCTGTCTATCTGTATAGTATCTGTGGTAAGCATTCTTCCCTTTGCAAAAATAAAGATATCGCCTATGAACTTGCAAAAGATTTTGAAAATGACCTGAAGTTTTCAAAGAACACGCCCACACGCGTTCTTTGCGAAAGGAAATGTGACAACTTTTTTTTTCTGTACGTTTTGCTTATTACTCATAAAATACAACACGTAGACCATATATATTTTCACTTTTATTCTAAAAATAGAAAAAATCAACTGTGCCCGCCCAATGTTATAGAGTATGCAAATTTAGTTCTTCTCCTTTCCCTTTTTCTAGGATAACGATAATGGATATTAAAGATTCGGTCTCGACCAAATATAATTTTCTTACCTGTCTTTTTTTTCTTATAACCTATGGTGGGGGTGTTTTTGTTTTCTTTGTTTACGTAAAAATGTTATGAGCTGTCAAAGCCGGCGTACCTTAACAGAGGGTAAGCATATTGTCAAGCCTGAGCAGAGATATTATGTGGACAGGTCGATACTTTAATATGTAATTAATAGGTAATTGAAGATGCACATTTGAGCTGATTGATATTTGATGATGTTCGAGAAGTGAATAAAGATACGATACCACCTTTATCTTAGAAAGGATCGAGAAAAACGAAAAAAGTAAATTTCCATATTCTTGCGTTACGCGGGCGCTGCTGATTATTTCCATTTTTGTAGAATATGCGTAAATCTTCATCTTGTGCTTATTTTAGTCAATATGTAATGAGTATACAACCTAGAAAGCAGAACTGGACTCAGTTTACGGTGCTTTGTAGGCGCATCCTTCGCGTGATTTTCGCCATTTTCAAGTTTTTTGCCAAATTTAAAGGTGATACCTTAATTTTTGCTAGTAGATAGTAGTTGACTGGGCGAACGGACAGATGGACAAACGGACATGGTCAGGACTGTATATAATGTACTTTGTAGGATTTTCAAAGCTGGTTCCTAGGCGTTGCATATGTTTTGACAAAATGAATATATCTCCATCCTCCGATACTAGGTATAAATACATACGTTATCTAAGTCATCATAGTCGTAACGCAGATGGTGGCATTTTATTAGCTTATCTAAACACCAATTAAGTATATAATATATATACATATATATATGGTTGTTTGGTAATTGAACTTCACTTCACTTCATTGCGAGAAGAGAATAAAATGAGCAAAATATAGCAACAAACAGGTCTACAGATCCGCAGTTATCGTTATGTGAATGAAAAGAACAATTTACGGGATGTAGGTGGGATTTCAATATACAAGTAAACATAGCTACTTTGATTGTATAAGTCATTTTGACTTTGGATGTATCCTCTTTTTTTTTTTTCAAGTTTCGCACAGTCCATGTTTCACTTCGTATTCTAAATAGTCCATTCTTTCACTCCTACCTTTTAACTCTCTCTCTACTCTAAAACAAAAAAAAAAAAAAAATGAAGAAAACAAGATAAGAACGTCGTACAACTTAAAGAAAGAACAGCCTGCCTAGTCAACTTCTTTTGCGAGCTTTTCTATGCATGTGTAAACTATTCGCCATTGATCGATCATTCGGTTGGGTTAACAAAATCCATAATAATCCATGTGCACTTAATTACTACTTAATTCCGTTAAAAAGGGATAATTAACTGAAGGCATTAATTGATTTTTGGTTTCTTGTTGTTGTTGTTGTTGTAATAGAATATTTTATAAACTCAGTTAGGCTGGCTAGTGTGGATTCATTTCTTGGCCTAGGTATCTTGTTTGATCACAAACTTCGATTCAGTTTGCATGTTGAACACGCTGTGAATAAAGCTAGATCAATGCTAGGCTTCAACGAATGGTGATCGAGGGCGACCCACATGTGACGAAAGGATTATACGTCAGTTTAGTGGGCCTTGCATCGTAGTTACCGTCGTGTCGTTGCTATGTGCATTCCATTGAATCTTTGCAGAAGCAGTTCTTGTTGTTTGCTCTAAAAAAATTGTGTTGGAATCCAACCGAATTCTCCCTTATGAAAATAGATTGGTACTTATATTCTTGCCGTCACTTGAGAGACATATAAGATGGTATTGGGCATTATTTTCATGGTGCAGCTGATTAATGAGGCCATTGACTCGTTGTTTTTGCTGAATGTGATTAATTTTAAAGTTCCTGTCTGTCCGACATAGTAATATCTTTTTCTTAAATTTAGACAATGCCCATCAAATGATGAGTTTCTCTCTACCACTCTTCTTAATGCCCATGCGCTGCCGACATCCTACTTAACCTAATAGATAAAGCCTACTATTCAGAATCTTGATACGAAGTTTAATGAGTAATTAATAGAACATAGATAGAAATTAAATTAAAGTAAAGAAGAAAAAAAAGACAATGGCGAGCTTAGATCACAACCCTTTCTCCTTACAAAAAGTTTTCTTTAACGTCAACGTTCTTTACACTACAGTGTTAATACTTTGTCATTGTCCAATATGGTGCCACGCTGGGTAAATTCACGGTTGAATTTGCATTAAAATTAGATAAACATAGTGGGTGCGTTGTTAGACTTCCTGACCGTATATATTGTATATGAGAATCCATTTTTCACATAAGCATCAGTCTAACCTAAAGTGTGGGGGTCGGAATTCATTGACTTATTTTTTTCTATTTTTTAGGGAGAATTACGGCTATATCTAATTTTGGTTTCTATTTTTTTTTATTTTTTATTTTTTTTTTTGGACAAACTAATGGATTAAAATTTGCGAACATTTTCCGAATATTTCGTTAAAGATTTTTGTTCTTAAATCACCTTCGTCACTATTGATGGGCAATCATGACGAGTGTGTAACATCATCCTGATTGCATGAACATACAACATTGACCGCGAAACGATTGTATGAACACAAAAGCTGGACAAGGACGATTTCTATTCTTATTACATGTGTGTACACATACACCTTCTAGTCTCCCAACTGACAAAAATAAGTTAAAACTACTTAGTAGAATGAAGTCCAGAGGAACTTTGTGGATCTAAATTTTAATGATGTTTGTAGCCATCTGCGTAAATTTCTTACACCAGTGTCTTTATTTGCATCGTTAATTAATATTAAGAAAAAGTTCACTGGCATTGAATTAAAATTCACATTTTTTAATATTATTAATATATTATTATTTTTTATTATTATTATTTATTTCAAATAAATCCAAATTAATAGTAGTAATAATTTGCCTAATGCTTTGTGAAAATATCATTAGATATTACGGTAGACATATAATATGTGAATGGAGATCTTTTTGACGTAGCTAACGTTGACCAATCATTGCCGAGTTCAATTAAATCAAAGCATTAATCGATTCCGACCTCTGTTTAACGGAAATCAAACATATACGTACGTTAAGCACATGAGAAAAATGTAGGGAAAATCTTTTGTTTACGATATACTTATTTTTTTTCTTTTCAAATTTCCATGAACGCCAAACCGAGGTATTTACACATTTTGATGCGCCGTGTTCGCCGCGTTTATCGTAAAGAGAATTGTATTTATGAAATGGTCCCCAAATTTACGTTACAGAAGTCTTGATCCACAAGATCTTCTTGGGATGTAGATTGAAAATTGCCCGTCGGTCAACTTTCAGGTAAATACCGCAAGTACTAGGCTCGCTATTTACGAATTAAACGTCATCATCATTAGCGAAGTGTAGTCTGTGAGAAAAAATGATGAACGAAGCGTCGCTTGTGCTGACAATGAAAAAATCATCCACTAAGGGCTGATGTCGCAACAACGACAACGGAACGATTTTTTGACTAGATTAAAATTAAAAATGCAGCAGAGAAGAAGTTTTCAAAAGAAGTAGAATTCTGTTCTTTTTTTTTTTTTTATTCTTTAGGATATTTTTTAATTTCGGATTAGATTATGAACTGTATTTCGTCCGATGTCTTCAGAAGCCGTTTGGGTGGCTTTTTTGCTTTTATTCTAAAGATCTGAAAACATGTATGTTTAAGGAAATGTTAAATTTGGTATTGAATACAATGAAGAATATGAGGCGTTTGCAGAAATTTTGATCAGCGAATTTTACAGGTAAAAATGATAAAAAAAAAAATGGGAAACACCAGTTTACTGTGTATAACGGTTGAATTCGGTGGAATTTGAAATTTCGATTCGAAATTTTTTATAGCAATGTTTCTTTCTGCTCGCGTTATTATTATACTTAAAACGAGGCTTTGGTGTATTTAGCAAATCTGGCATCGTTGTATTCAAC